TGACGTTAATGTGAAATTGAGTTTACATTTTACATATAAATAATTAATTTTAAGCAAATGATGATAAATTGAAAATGAAGTCAATGGCTGTGAATGCTATCAATAAAAAGTTAACAATGGATGAGATTGTGGCTCAGGCGTGGGTCTTCTTTCTGGCCGGCTCTGAGACCACATCCAATACATTGGGTTACGGCTCATACGAGTTGGCACTCAATCCACATATTCAGGACCGACTGTACGATGAGGTAATGTCTTCGGTGGACTCGGAGGGAGAGATCAGTTACGACGAGTTGGCAAAACTCCCACTTCTGGACGCCGTTATCTCCGAGACTCTACGCCTATACCCATCGGTCGTACGCCTCGATCGTAAGGCCAAAGTCGACTATAAGTTGGCCGACACTGGGATCACAATAGAAAAGGGAAAATGCGTTGAAATACCGGTCTATGCTATACATCACTCGGAAGAGTATTATGAAAATGCCCACCAATTTGACCCTGATAGATTTATGCCACAAAACAGGCATAAACTCGTTGCCTACACATACCTGCCTTTCGGCGCCGGTCCTCACAATTGCATTGGTATGAGGTTTGCGTTAATGGAAGTGAAATTGGCTTTCGTTCACATTATACAGAGATTTCGTTTCGTTCGTACGGAACAGACGTCCGTTCCCTTAGAGTATAGGAAAGCCGTCCCATTCCTGTCGGCCACTAGTGTTGTGGTCGGCATTCAAAAGAGATAATTGAAATGTTACTTATTATGTGATTATATTTATTTTTTATGCAATAATAAAGTAATATTATCTTCTTTATTTTATGATTATATAAATTATTTAAAATAGTATTTAAATCGAAATATTTATTTAAACTATTAATATTTCATAATTTATGTTAATCAATCTAAATTGAGGCAGTATATAATTTTATAATGTAATTAACATGTTTTATTAATAATTTTAAAATATTTTATTTGTAAATATTAATTAGTTATATAAAATAACAAATATAATTACTTACAAACTTATTCCTTACAGTGGCAAAAATTAATTTGCAACTGTGAATTAATATAAAGTATGTTGTAAAGTCTAGGGTTACAATTGCTGCCTCTTATTTGTATATTAAAAATTGTAAGATTTTATTAATTAAAAATATTTATAATTTTAATAACCATTTTGAATTGTATTTTCAATAATAAAATCTCTTTAACAGTTATAATCATGCATTCAATAAGTACTAATTTGTAAAATTGTTAAATACAGTTAATCTGAACAATGGATTTAACGCTGTTATTAAGCCAATTGTCATTGAGTTCATGGATCACGATTGCAACCATCTTTGTAGTGACCATATTTTACTGGTAATTATAATAAACATACAAAATTAATAATCATTCACTTAAATAATTATCATAATAAATAATATATTATTTTGCACTTGTTATTTACATGTAACATAAGGCGAATATCTCGACAATTCAATCATTTCACCAAGATGGGCTTGAAAGGTCCAAAACCGGTACCATTTTTAGGTAACTCTATCTATTGGCTGCTTAAACCTCGATGTTTTTTGGACATTGAGTGGGGCCGCAAATATGGCCAGATATACGGGTAATACCTCTACTCAATATAATTAGTTATCTCATGTATCGAGCTATAAGTAGATAAATTAATTGATACTAGATCATTTGTATATTAATTATGTTATTATTTGCAGAATATATGACAGCAATCAACCAATATTAGTGGTGACCAAACCGGAACTGATTAAGAAGATTGTGGTTAAGGACTATCACGTGTTCATCGATAGACGGATGCGACCGACCAATCATTTCCTCTATCGAGAGAGTTTGTCTCACGCGCGGGGAGACAACTGGCGCCGTATCCGCTCGATAGCCAGCCCTACGTTCAGTTCGGCCAAAATACGCAAAATGTATCCAATAGTCAGACAGTGTTTGCGGGCACTCATGACACACGTGGTGGACATGGAGTGCGGCGATTGTGTAGACCTCAAGAAGATGTGCGGCAACTACACGATGGACGTGATCGCCGCCGTGGCCTTTGGCACCGATGCCAACGCACACAACGACCACTCGTCGGCGTTTGTGACGTCCGCCCGACAGATACTGGACGTAGACTTTGTCCGCACAATCATTGTATTGCTTTTGCCAAAGTTTGTGGTGAAGGCAATCGGCTTAAAATCTCGAGTCCCGGAAACGGCCCATCAGTTCTTCGTGGATATCGGCCGACGGCTTATAAACGAGCGTAAGTCCGATCCGGACAGTCATCGCAAGTACAACGACTTCATACAGTTTCTGGTGGACGCCCGGCCCGATGGGGACAGGGATGCGACCCCTGCGGCGGCCGATGTGAACGCATTCAATGAAAGTGCGGTATAGTATTGATAGAAATAAAAATGTTTTTAAACACATCACTGACCCGTTTGTAGGCGAAGAGGAACTGGCGATTAGACGGCAAATGTTGACCACCGGAGCCAAGAAGCACACACTGACTGATGATCAGATCGTGGCTCAGGCGTGGATTTTCTTCCTGGCCGGCTATGACACCACATCCACAACACTCACCTACTGTTGCTACGAATTGGCACTCAATCCCGACATACAGCAGCGCCTATACAATGAGGTGATGGCATCGGTAGACTCCGAGGGAGAGATTGGTTACGACGAGTTGATGGCAATGTCTTATTTGGATGCCGTACTCAGCGAAACACTGCGAAAGTATCCGGCGGCGATTAAACTTGAACGCCGATCGGTGGCCGAGTATGTGTTGGGCGACACCGGTATCACTTTGCCCGCCGGTCAGGAGATAGAAATTACCACTTATGCTATTCATCACAACCCCGAGTACTATCCCGACCCCGAAAAATTTGACCCTGAGCGATTTATGCCCGAAAATAAGCATAATATCCAGCCCTACACTTACCTGCCATTTGGCGCCGGCCCTCGTAATTGCATCGGTATGCGAGTGGCGCTAATGGAGGCCAAGCTCTGTGTCGTACATCTGATCCAGAAGTATATGTTTCTAAGAATACCGAAGACATCGGTTCCCATAAAGTTTCAAATATCAATGACAACTCTCTCTCCGGGCGACGTTCACATCGGCTTCACTAAGCGTTAGGCAGTTGTCTGGAAATATTTATAAACAATAAATGTACAATTATTTATTGTTGATTTACATATACATGTATTTTAACGTTTAAAAACGTGGTTCACAGATTTTACTAAAACAATTTAGTGGTCGTTTATGATTTAAATTTATTATAATTTATTATATTATAATTTAGATAAGTCTAGTATTGGTGTATTTATAATTGATTTTAGTATAATCGCATAATAAACCCATCCAGTAATATAGAATCTGTAAATTAACATGTTGTAATACAACCTAATTATTTACATCATGCTGTTTTGTTAAAACCCTAATTGTAAATGTAGTCAAATATTTTGTAAGATATAGGATTACAATTGTGGATGCAGATGTTTTATTTATATATTATAATTATAAGATTTAAAGATTTAAATTAAAAATATTTTTAATTTTAATACCCATCTTGAATTATATTTTCATATTTCCCATTACATAGACTTTGTTTAACGGTTATAATTATGCATTTAATCAATAATGATTCATAAAATTATTAAATACAATTAATCTGAACAATGGATTTAATACTGATGTTAAGCCAATTGTCATTAAGTTCATGGATCACTATTGCAACCATCTTAATAATGACCATGTTTTACTGGTAATTATAATTAAAATATTAACTTAATAATCATAAATATAGATTATAATCATAATAAATGATATACTGTTTTACATTATTATTTTATATTATTTACATGTATTAATAGGCAAATATGTCGACAATTCAGTCATTTCACCAAGATGGGGTTGAAAGGTCCAAAACCGATACCATTTTTAGGTAACTCTATCTATTGGCTGCTTAAACCTCGATGTTTTTTGGACATTGAGTGGGGCCGCAAATACGGCCAAATATACGGGTAATACCACTACACTATATAATCAATTATCTCATGTGTAGAGCAGTAAATAGATACTGTACTAGCAATAAATTGATACTAGATCATTTGTATATTAATTTCGTTATTACTTGCAGAATATACGACAGCAGTCAACCAATATTAGTGGTGACCAAACCGGAACTGATCAAGAAGATTATGGTGAAGGACTATCACGTGTTCATCGATAGGCGTTTGCGACTACATAATCATTTTCTCTCGCGGGAGAGTTTGTTTCACACGCGGGGAGACAACTGGCGCCGTATCCGCTCCATAGCTAGTCCTACGTTCAGTTCGGCCAAAATGCGCAAAATGTATCCAATGGTCAGACAATGTTTGCGGGCACTCATGACACACGTGGTGGACAAGGAGTGCGGCGATTGTGTAGACCTCAAAAAGATATGCGGCAACTACACGATGGACGTGATCGCCGCCGTGGCCTTTGGCACCGATGCCAACGCACACAACGACCAATCGTCGGCGTTTGTGACGGCCGCCCGACAGATACTGGACATAGACTTTGTCCGCACAATCATTGTATTACTTTTGCCAAAGTTTGTGGTGAAAGCAATCGGTGTAAAATCTCGGGTCCCGGAAACGGCCAATCAGTTCTTCGTGGACATTAGCCGACGGCTGATAAACGAGCGTAAGTCCGATCCGGACAGTCATTGCAAGTACAACGACTTCATACAGTTTCTGGTGGACGCCCGGCCCGATGGGGACAGGGATGCGACCCCTGCGGCGGCCGATGTGAACGCATTTAATGAAAGTGCGGTATAGTATTGATAGAAATAAAAATGTTTTTAAACACATTACTGAAACCCGTTTAGATGAAGAGGAACTGGCGATTAGACGGCAAATGTTGACCACCGGAGCCAAGAAGCACACCCTGACTGATGATCAGATTGTGGCTCAGGCGTGGATTTTCTTCATGGCCGGCTATGACACCACATCCACAACACTCACCTACTGTTGTTACGAATTGGCCCTCAATCAGGACATACAGCAGCGCCTATACAATGAGGTGATGACATCGGTAGACTCGGAGGGAGAGATTGGTTACGACGAGTTAATGGCAATGTCTTATTTGGATGCCGTACTCAGCGAAACACTGCGAAAGTATCCGGTGATCACTAAACTCGAACGCCGATCGGTGGCCGAGTATGTGTTGGGCGACACCGGTATTACTTTGCCCGCCGGTCAAGAGATAGAAATTACCACTTATGCTATTCATCACAACCCCGAGTACTATCCCGACCCCGAAAAATTTGACCCTGAGCGATTTATGCCCGAAAATAGGCATAATATCCGGCCCT